TTCGTCACTATGTGCGGCGATGACCTTCCTTGTTTAGAGGCTTTGAGGGCGACCACCTTTTTATTGCGGCTTGGATGCATGTTTGTGCGTGCATGGTACTTACTTGTGCGGCATCTCACATCAAGATTGTGTTATGCATATAGCTGTTGGGATCACGAAAAGTGATGGCGACGATGACTTCGATGTGCTGGTGCTTCTTAAATATCAGTCTCGAGCTCCGAGATGAAGACCCGAGGGTGAAAAACAATGATCTGGCCTTCGGTGGTAGGTCTGACAACAGTGGTGCTTATGCATCATTCCATTCCTAAAATCATTCCTGTTGGAGAATATTTCTCGTTGTATTTGTAATGTCAATAGATGGTTGGTGTTGATATGATCGCGGATATAGGTTCCTGATCTTTGTTTTTGTTTTGATCGATTCAGAGTTCCTCTTTTCTTTCTACTTCATCAAGGCATAGCTTTGGTGTCGTATGACTTTGCTATTAACTGGTCTTATTATTTGTGTGTCTGTGTCAGTGGTCGTTGTGGCAGGCATCTTAGTTACGCAAACAAAGGGTGTATGCTAGCAGCGGAGCTAGCGTAGAGCTATTGGGTTCAAGTGAACCCAATGGATTTTTCTTGGTACATGCATATATGTACGTATTTACCTGATGTAAACCCAGTAAAATACCCTTTTTGAGACACCCAGTAAAATATCTTGGCTAACCCCAACAAATACACCTCATGAATCCATTCACGTGCCTAAACCTTGAGTCCGCGAGTCACGCAAACATGCAGTTACAGGCAGCACGCCCCATCTGTCGTCTGCTTTCTTTTTCATCATTCGTCTGTTCATTTCTCTGACTCCCATCTCGCATGTTCATGTTGCTAGGTGACTCGGCTGCCGCCACACGTTCGTGGCAAGCAGGCGGCCGCCGATCGACATCGGCAACCATTGAATCCCAAAACTTGATTTTTTTGAGGTAATTAGATTACATTGCCGCATCTTTTCTCTCTCTTGTCTATGTTCTATCTAGCCTAATAACCCAAAACAATAGTGATTGTTTTCCCCTAGTCTTCTAAAAAAATCTCCATGAACTTTGATTGATCTAGTCTATGGAGCAGTATTTGTCAAAGGGAACTTGGTCACTTTTTTTGAACCAAAACCAGTAGAACAATCGTTCTATGGTATATATATTAATAAAAATAAGTTTATGTGCAAGTCTAAGGGAAAACAAGGGGAAGGAAACATCTATCGAATTCCTGCTCTAGCAAAACCCAACATGATAAATCAGTTGCAATCTAAAACTTGATCAATCCAACTTGAGAGGAGAGCTTCATATTTATCCTTGATTCTGTGCTTGAGTAGCAAGAGGTCTTTTCTCAGCATGCATTTCCATGAATGTAGGGAGAATGGCTTGGAGTTGAAGATCTTCCCATTTCTCTTAATCCAAATATTCCAGCATCCCATAATAATGATTTCCATGGCAATGGGGGTTGGAAGGGCCTGTGATAAGAGCAAAACCTCATCATATATAGAAGTACCCTTGTGTCTGTTACCCAGAATTGAGTCCCAGCAGGTGAAGGAAAAATTGCAGTCCTAGGATAGATGCATGGCAGTTTCTTCGGTGTTGGAGGTACAAAGAGCACAATTGTATGAAGGTAAATTAAATGACTTTCTGCGGAGAAGGTTCCTTGTATTTGCCCGGTCATGCATAAGTAGCCAGAATAAAATCTTATATCTGAGCATTGTGGCATTTTTCCATATTTTGGGAAAGAGGGTTGGAGCCAATTCTCCTTGTATCAGAATCTTGTACATCTTAATTGAAGAGAAATCAGGCCCCAAGGATATATCCATTTATCATTACTGTCATTCACATGGATGTTTTGTGTGCTATTCTGTAGTTCCAACCGTTGTTGGTATGCTTGTGTAGACAGGGTGTATGGAAGAATTCCAGGATGTTGTCACTTTGCAGGTACTCTTGCATTGTTAAGTTGTTTTTGCTGGAGAAAGAGTAGAGTTCAGGGCACTTCTGTTGAACAGGGCCAAGGCCCCAATTGTCTCCCCAAAATGATATAGTGTTGCCTTGGCCAATTATGCCACTTGTGCAACTCTTGTATTGTGGTAGCAACTTGATAATGCTTCTCCACCAGAAGGAACCAATTGGTCTAGAAGTGATCACCCCTGGAGGATACTAGGATTCCCATATTAAATTCACCTAAGGAAGGTCATGGTGATGAAGAAATTTGTGTAGATGCTTCATGAGGAGGCATTTGTTGTGGGTAGCAATGTCAAGAACCCCTAAACCACCTTGATCCTTTGGCACACATACTTTATCCCAGGAAATCAATGTTGTACCTCTGTCTTCCATACCATATTTCCTCCAGAAGCAATGTCTTAGATATTTGTTGATCTGTTCCACAATTTCAGTAGGTAGCATGAGTGTACTCATAAAGAAAGTTGGTAGGCTTGTGAAAACCAACTTTATCAGTGTGAGCTTGTCTCCATATGAGAGCATAGTTGAACAACCAGATAATATTTTTTCAGTTCTCTTAATGTCAGGTACAAAATCTTCCATTCTAGGTCTGACCAGACTAAGAGGAAGTCCCAAGTATGTGAAAGGGAACGCACCAATGCAACAACCCAAAGAGGTGGCCAAGATATCCATTCTGTCAGGGGAGGTGTTGATTGGTACAATTCCAGACTTCTCATAATTGATTCTCAGCCCTGTATATAAGGAGAAGTATGAAAGTAAATTCTTCAGTTGCTCCAGCTGAATTGAGCATGTTGGCATTATAAGGACAGTGTCATCTGCATATTGTATAACTGGGAAATCAGGGCAGTGGTGATTCTCCAAAGGTTTTTGGACAAGGTTGTTGAGCATGGCCTCATTCATAATTGACTGTAACAAATCAGTTGCCAGAACAAACAACAAAGGAGATAATAGATCTCCTTGCCTAACTCCTCTTCTGCGTAAAAAACTGTTTCCTGGGACACCATTGAGAAGGACAGATGAGTAACCGGAGGTGAAAATCATGTACATCCACATTAGCCACTTGGGACCAAAGCCCCTAGCAATAAGAATCTGCTTGATTGTTTCATGCTCAATGAGATCAAAAGCTTTTTGAAAATCCAATTTCAACACAATGATTTCCTTATCTGATGAGTTGCATTGATTGATGTACTCATATGCCCAGGCCAAGCAATCCTTGGATCTGTTTTTAATAAAGCCATACTGATTTCTATGGACCAACATTAGAATAACTTTTTGCAACCTGTTTGCCAGCAGCTTGGTGATGATTTGATAGAATAGTTTAGTAATGATATTGGCCTGAAATCATTTGCTATTGTTGGACCATCAACCTTAGGAATGAGAGTGATAAAAGAGGAGTTGATGCTTTGCAGGTTGATCTTTCCCTGAAAAAAAATCCTCAATGAGAGCATAAAAATCAGGTGCAATAATGTCCCAGCAACATTTCACAAAATCAATGTTAAACCCATCAGGTCCAGGTGCTTTGTCAGATGGAAGTTCCTTAACCACATCATAAATTTCTTCTTTGGAGAAAGGTTCTTCCGGTCTAGATAAGTTTGGAAATCTTTTAATCAAACCTTCCAAATTCAGCATGTTGAAAGTTGGAACAGAGGTGCCGAGTCTATCTTTGAAAGCTGTGAGAAGGATATTTGCTTTGGAGTTATGATCTCTGTGAATATTACCAGAATCATCCTTCAGACTATCAATATGATTAACTCGTCACTAGATCGAGATAATGATACAGGCACATCAAGGTCACCCATTAAACGTAGGGAAAGTGCACCCAAATGTCACTGCAGGTAGTCTTCCGAAGCCTACTATTCATACAGAAATTGAAATTAACTTAAATGAGTTGCCTTATAATCCGGATGATCGGTAGAGAATTTCAGAGTACATAAGAAATCCAGAGAAGCAAGATGAGATTAGGCGCAAATATTTAACAAGGGGACCTTATAGGCCGCGGTCTAATTTTGATGACCGACAGAGGGATATTGGAGATACTCAACAAAGATTTAATCCAGATTGTTGATGAGTATGGTCCTTGGCTTGAGTATATAGTGGTAAAGTGCATAAGGCCTTCTGTTTGTGCTATAACAAGCTAAGATTAGTGCATTTCTAGTTAACGTCTGGAATGACTGGAACAAGAAAAACAAACTACGTACTCATGAGAGTACGGTAATGTTATTAGCTTTCATAATGTAATAGTAAAAAGATGTGATGCTTTGATGAATCAAGTTCAATTCACATTGCTTTTGATAAGAAAACCGATCTTACATAAAAAGCAAAATCGAATCCGGATTAATACTTTCATTGATTCGGTGAGATACTTGTTGCATCAAGGCTTAACTTTTCGAGGTCATGACGAGTCTGAAGAGTCAAAAAATAAGTATTCTTTTCAAGAGTTGGTATATACTTCGACAAACGTTCCTTCTAATAGTTCTTACAGAACACTGTGGTTTCCGATAAATGAAAATCGGAGAGATCACTCTCTTTTTCAAAAAGAAAAAAATATATACTTTGGCAAACTAAAATAAAGCTATACGGAGTGTACTCATGGAGTGAACCCAATGGCCAAATTCTCTGGCTCCGCCCTTGGTATACGTTCGTCATGTTTGTATCCTATAGACGCTTCATCGACAAAATGAGAGTCGCAGGTTAGTTTCTTGTCTCCGTCAATATTTGTGCATGATCTGTCACGCTTGGGTGGTCGTATTATAACAAGTGTGTGTACACATGTGCGTCATGTCGCAAGGAAGAAATGGACACAGCCGACCGATCCTAGTCCCGAAATGTCCGCGTTCAAGACTACAGTCGTCGTAACCCAAAGAGCACGAGGAGGGAGCAACACGAGACCAAAGCCCAGAGAAGCCGCAAGCAAGTTACAACAACCGTCTCCGTCCCCTCGCCCCACGCACACGAGCGCACAGCCGCGCACGCAAAAGGCCCGGCCAGCGGACGCCGACGGACTTTTCTCCCCACGCTTCGTTCATGGGCTGCTGCGGCTCCTCGCTGCGGTCGTGGGTCCACGCGGAGAAGCCGCCGGGGCCCCGGCGGCCTGCTCCTCCTCCCCCGCCGCCGCACCGCCCCTCCTTCTCCCTCAAGGCGCAGAAGGCCGCCTCGCCGCCGCCGGCGGCGCGCGGGGAGGAGGAGGATGTCCCGGCGCTCGCGGAGTTCTCGCTGGCGGAGCTCCGCGCGGCCACGGACGGCTTCGCGGCGGGGAACATCGTGTCGGAGAGCGGCGAGAAGGCTCCCAACCTCGTCTACAGGGGCCGGCTGCGGGGCGCCTCCGGAGGCGCCGCCCCTCGCGCCATCGCCGTGAAGAAGTTCGCCAAGCATGCCTGGCCTGACCCCAAGCAGTTCGCGGTAGGAGGGAGAAGCCGCGAATAACTCGTGGTTTGGTGTATGGCTGAATTGCGGGTTTTGGGGGACATATGGTTCTGACGAATTGTTTGTCTGGTTTCCAGGAGGAGGCAAAGGGGGTGGGCAAGCTGCGGCACCGAAGGCTGGCAAACCTCATCGGCTACTGCTGCGACGGCGACGAGCGGCTGCTTGTCGCGGAGTTCATGTCCAACGATACCCTCGCCAAGCACCTGTTCCACTGTGAGTCCCCCAAGTAACCCCCCCGCAGACTGTCTTTAGTTAGTAGTTTCCCCGGCTGTTCATTGATTCTATAGAACCTGGAAATCCTTTGCTTTAGTGGATGTCGCTGAATTATGGGATGCGGTAAGCAAGTGTTGAATTTGGCAAGTTATTGTGTCTGCACAAGGCTTCTACTCTCAGTGCAGTGTTTACAGCATTTTGATGTCAAACTTAAGCAATTGATATACTAGTTATTTCAATTATCATCCTGGATGCAATTGAGTTTAATTTATCTCAAATGATATGAGTTTCTATGTATATTACACACATCCTGTTTGTGATTATTAATTCGGTCATTCTTGAGTTAAAGACTTGCTAGTGATGACATTTATCACCAAAGGGAAGTTATTGTTTCTGCACAAGGCTTCTACTCAGTGAAATTGTTTGCAGCATTTTGGCGTCGAACTTAAGCTGTTGATAGTTAATGCTTGATTGACCTTCCCTCGGGTCCCCAGCTTCCATGCTCACTTGTTATTTTGATTATCACCTTGTATAAAAGGGAAATATCGCACACATATTGTTTTTGATTGCTAATTTGGTCATTTTGAGTTAAATACCGACAAGTAATGGCACTTATCTGTGCTCAATGGGTATTAACCAGTCTTGCAAACAACTATCAAATTAATTTGCTCTTCGCCATACTTCTGTCCTTGTGCAGGGGAAAACCAGACTATTGAATGGGCTATGCGTCTGAGAGTTGCACACTACATTGCTGAAGCATTGGGATATTGCAGCAATGAGGAACGCTCTTTATATCATGACCTAAACGCATACAGAGTCCTCTTTGATGAGGTAAATGATCAGCAAGTCAAGTCTGTTTAAGTGTATAGACTCTGTCAAACCAATGATTAATGTCTTGTGCTGATGGCCATGGTGACAATATTTAGAGGTTTCCAAGTTTAGATTTCGTTTTACCTAAAAAAAGTTAAGATTTTTTTCTGTTAACAAGAAATGGAAATGTTAGCGGTTAGCTGTCTTTTTATGCACTGTTTATACACACATAAACTACAAGGATAATTCAATTACTAGGAAAATTGTTTAGCCAAACTTACATTGGCATTTGGAAGATGTCTTGCATTCAATTTGTTTACAACTTCACCAAGTAGGTTTTATGAGATGTTGATTGCATCCAACAGTTGAACATGTCATTTTGTACCAATTACCATGCATGTAAGCAAAGCATCTAATAACCTTTCTGGTTGCAGAATGGTGATCCACGCCTCTCATGCTTTGGTCTGATGAAAAACAGCAGGGATGGGAAAAGTTATAGCACAAATCTAGCGTACACACCTCCAGAATATCTGAGAAATGGTATTTACTCCTTTTTTTACTTAGTAATGAAATATTTCTTCTTCTAGGAGCTTAGTTTTATTATTGCAATCCTCCACTCCACAAACAATAGGAATGTCATGGGATGAAGCTTTAATCTATCGGCACTGAATAACAAAATTTCTCAAAGTGGAAAGACAAATATAGTACCTTTGTTAAGATACTGGTTAAATGTATTAGATAGAAGTCATGAGGAGTCTTTTCTGCATTATTGATGTTGACAAAGGCACCACCGATGCGTATTTCAGTTGTCTTCTTTTCTTTCTTTCAGGCAGGGTCACAGCAGAAAGTGTCATTTTCAGTTTCGGCACTGTACTCCTCGATCTTCTCAGCGGAAAGCGCATACCTCCTTCCCATGTAAGTTTCTTGTTAAGTATGTTTTAGCTTCCGTCATATTCAGCTAAAGAAATACAGAAATTATGCCAAAGAGATACTTGTTTGGTTTTTCTTGTTAATGTTGATGCACTAGCCAACACAACCAAAAGTCCGAACTAATGGAAAGGGCTAGGCAATCCACATATACACTTCAACAGGCTTTCACAATTTATCCAAAAATTGTTGTTGTCCCCTCTGTGTCCTCTCGAGCCATACCTCTGAGTCTATTCACACGCTGACTTCCCGCGTCACATGTGAGAGGTTTTTTTGAAGTGTATATGTTGCTTGCCTAGCCTTTCCATCAGTTCGGACTTTTGGTGCGTTGGCTAGTGCATGAAGCTTAACATTTCTCAGCACAAATACCAGTTGAACACCCATGCAGATTGAACTATACCGAAAACATTCATGTTGAATTTCATATTTAGCTGTACAAGTTTGTGCGGATCCACACAGGTTTTCTGCCAAGAAATTCTTACATATAATGTATACTATTATTTGAAGTAATAGTAGTATTGTTTAGCCAATACACATGGCCATTACACATCCAGGCTGACATCTATGCTCTGACCAAGAGGATGTAGAAGTCATTCGTGTGCTTTATGATTGGCCCAACAGGCAGTGTCAGCTTAGTAGCTTACCCTTGTAAAATGCTCTAATAGCCACTTTGCAATATCACACCACCTATATGTTGTGGCCATATCTTCCCCTTCAAGCATAAGAGTAGCTCCTTGTGTTGGCCGGCTCAATGCTATACGCTGTCGCTTGTGTCATCCGTGTCACTTGCCTCACTCGTGGCAGACATGATCTGTGTGACGACACTCAGTGTCAGTACAGAGTTTACTGGTTGGTGTTCACCTCACCCTCACCCTATGCCCCTTTGGACCTCTTTTTTTCCAAAAGGGGATAACCCCAGCCTCTGCATCATCATGATGCACACAGCCATTTTATTAATAAATTATCCAATGTACGAAACAGTCATGAAAACAAAGGAAAAAAGATAGAGCATGGCCACGATCGGTCGAAAATGAGATTGCATGAGTCAAACACATAATCTACTACTGGTTCGTTGGCCAAATCGGTTGAATAATCCCTGTGTGACAGTCTCAAAATGTCTGCACCCAAAGGCCATGTGCTCCTGAGTGTTGCATTAGTCCAACTAGCAGCTGAGGCAGGCACCAGTAGCACAAACCTTTCGGGGGATTTCATTGTCCTCATGCAATTTTTGGGTTGCACCAATAGAATTTCCTTATTATGTCCGATAATTTTTTGGTCATTTTGAACATCCATATCTGAAAACCTTGATCAACCCACTAAATATTGTTGGAATTCCATGCAACCTACTCAACTTGTTGTGTGTAGAAACTACGGCCTATACAATTATTTACCAAAGCCTATCACCAGTTAGCAAGACAATATACATTAGTATGCACACTGGTAATGATGTGTATATGCTTCATTGCACTCAGGCACTTGATATGATAAGAAGCAGAAACATCCAAGCACTAATGGATTCACATTTGGAGGGGAACTACTCAACGGAGGAGGCTACTACCTTGGTGAATCTTGCTTCTCAATGTTTGCAGTATGAACCAAGAGACCGGCCTGATATAAAGAAGTTGGTTTCCATTCTCGAACCACTGCAAACCAAATCAGAGGTAATAACATCTACTCTATTCTTATGTTTCTTTTTGTTTTTGACTATGAATTAAGATGTTTTAGCATTGGACTACAGTGCCCCCTTTTCCTGTCATTCATGCTAATGACATGTTAGTGTAACTTCCCCATTCACATGATGATTCCTGACATTTCAGTCATGTACTTGAGAGTTTCTCGTGCATGCTGTTCAGAAGTATTTTCACTGGCCCTTTCAGTCCCTTTGGTCGAAATGTGGGTAACTGTGGCATTGTGTTACACCTAGCCCATTAATGCAGTAACATACTCCCTCCTTCCAGATATATAGGACAAATTTTGATTGGTTAAGACAAGGATTTGACCAACAATTACTCCATCAGCATGTAGTATATGTGACACAAAGTTGATGTCAGTGGATTTGTATGTTAATGAAGTAATTGTTGGTTCAAGCCTTGTGTTAACTAATCAAAATACACCCTATATATCTGAATGGAGTGGGAGTAGTGACCAACCATTTAGTGGCGATGAGTGTTATTAAATATATTGAATAACAGTACTCAGTACTCAACATATGGGCATATCTCCTGCAAAAAAAAAAAAGGGGCATATGCCCACTTTGGCATAGAGTATATAATGTATGTCTTCCAGCACTGTGCAAAGGCTGTATGTTCCAAATTGTGTTCAGTATGTTATGTTTGTTACTCCCTCCGTCCCATAATATAAGATGTTATTACAACCAATATGTGAGCATATCGGTATGGGACAGAGGGAGTATTTATTTAGGCCAAGTTTTGTAACATTTTGCTTTGTTACTTCCATGTTAGGAATGACATAATTTCGATAGATGAGTAGCATGACATGTATATCTGATGATTTCTCATTGCAAAATACAAAGCAGGTGCCATCCTATGTGATGCTTGGAGTTCCAAAACCTGATGAACCATCAAAGGCACCACCTAGCCCTACTCCACAGCCACAGCACCCTCTTTCTCCCATGGGAGAAGCCTGTTCAAGGATGGACCTAACTGCCATACATCAGATTCTAGTCTCGATGCATTACAGAGATGATGAAGGGAGTAATGAGGTAAAGAGCACCGTGTTCTGTTTCCAGCATGTCCTTTCTGCAGTGTTGTATCTTCACCGGTCTCCACATTGCAGTTATCGTTCCAAGAATGGACACAGCAGATGAGGGATATGTTGGACGCCCGGAAACAGGGCGACTTTGCTTTCCGAGACAACGACTTCAAAGCAGCCATAGATTGTTATACTCAGGTAGTGCCTTATCCGGATCTATAGGACGTTCTCCAAGTGGATGTAAAATTTTCTGATCCATCCTTTGCCTGTGATTGTTTCACAGTTTGTTGATGTCGGGACAATGGTGTCGCCAACGGTTTACGCCAGGCGGAGCTTGTGCCACCTGATGTGTGACCAACCTGACGCTGCCCTCCGGGACGCAATGCAAGCGCAGTGTGTGTATCCCGATTGGCCCACAGCTTTCTACATGCAGGCGGTCGCCCTGTCCAAGCTAGACATGCAGAGTGACGCCACTGACATGTTGAACGAGGCCTCACAACTTGAAGAGAAGAGGCAAAAGAGCGCAAGAGGTCCATGAATGAAGAGCATATTAAACTCGGAGAAGTCACATCCATCCCATATATATGTATGTAGTCGGAAGTTTGCGCTGATCTGAGCGGTATAGGAGCTAGAAGATCTGCGGGAAGACGTTTCACTGAAAAGTCCTGTGAATGCGATTGAAGGAACTCGTTTGGTTTGGCATACCTGTAATAGGTAGTGCATTTTTGGGCCCATATTTGTTGTATATAACGTCAGTTGAAACAGGCAGCAAACGCGGGCGTTCGTTTGAATGTGTGTTGCTGGTTGTTGGAAAGGGTCCTTGTTGTAGCTAAAGCAAATAAACATACCTATATCCTGTTTGTACAGAAAATATTGGTTTGGATGTACATCGGCCTGAGTACATTCCTGCTCATCTTAGGGGCTATGTAGAATCGTGGAGTCCTTGCTTAACTGTCTACACTTGCACCGCGGTTAAGTACATTCCATGTCCCCTCACGACTCATGACTCCATGACCTCCCTCCAGACGCTTCAAGTTTGTACCGACGGGTGATACTCGAAAGACCCCTTTGTTGGCCGGGAGTTTAGATTTACGCGTTTGCTATTGGTAAGTTGCCTGAATTTGCAACTCACGCCAGTCAATTTTCGAGCGCAACCTTAAGAAGAGATGGGGTGCTGCAGAGTGAGCTGCAGCAAGGCGCGGGGTCGCCGGCGTGGCTGAACCCGGAGCGACCCGGAACAAGGAACGAGGTGGTAGCAACATCGCTGGTGGAGGGGTGTCAAGGATTCATTGTTTCGGGTGCAGTATGGGATGGGGGCTCGCTAAAGTTGGAAAAGAACTCGTGGTTATAGGGATGGTTGTGCGCGGCACCATACCGAAGGGCGGCAGGAGGAAGAGGAAAAGAGAGGGACAACAGGAAGCTAGGACAATGTGGTGTCCCGATTGAAAAGGGCAGCTATAGGCGTCGGCACGCCGGCCCTAGAGTTTCGGCCGGACGCGCCTCAGCCGTTTGATGTGAGCCGCGTTAGCAGTTAAATCCGGTTGAAAAAAAAGCATGCTCGCCCCAGCGTCTTCTTCCCCCCGCTCGGGTATGCAGTGCCGCGTCTCCTATCGGCTCCGGTGGACGTCTCTTCGCTGGTCCCTACCCCTCGTCGGCCTATCCCCACCGGCGGCCGTCCTCGACGCCGATCTCCACCTTCCCCGGCTATCCTCGTTGCCGGTCCCCACCCTCGCCGGTCGTTCTCGTCGCCGCCTCGACCAGCGCAACAGCTGCACCTACGATTGCAGCTCTCAACAGCCATGGGTGTAGCTCCGGTCATAGCTCCGCCGCCGCCCCTCGTCATTGATGCTTCCTGCACAGAATTGCATCGACGACGTCTGGATAGTCTGTCACCGCCGCTGAATGGACGTAACAAAATACATCACGGGTCGTAGCAAGAAAGACAGCGGATGCAACAAATCGTTGTCGCCGTCGTTGCGAGGTCGCAGCTCCGCCTGATGGATGTAGCAAAAAACTTCGCCGTTAGTAGCAAAATCCAACTACGGTTGAATCTCTATTATCAATGGTTGAAGCTTCTTTTTGTGATCGGTTGAAGATTTCTGTGATGCCGGTTGAAGCTTTTTGTGATGCAGGTTGAAGCTTGTTGCGACACTGGTTGAAGCTTTTCATTGTGGCAGCGGCCGGTTCCAACATCTGTTGTTGCAGTTTGAAGGTTTTTTGCCGCATTGTCGTAGCTTCCCAGAACACCGGTTGTATCATCGGGGGTTTGTCCCCCTTGAAGCATTTCGTCGTTGGTCCCCCCGATGGAGATCGTCGCCCATGGCCGAGGTCGCCGACGCGGTTGTAGCTCGCCGCGTAGTCGGTGCCAACAAAAATCCAAGGCCGATTGCAGCAAAAAACGATGCTATGGGGGAAACAGGGGTGCGGGATGGAGCATAGGAGGGGCGGGACGACACATGGCTGTGAGGGTGGCAGCCGGCGGCAAAGGTGCGGGGTGGTGGAGCTTGCTAGGTGGCAACGGCATGCGGCCATGGGATGGCCCGCGGCAGGATGCGCGCGGCCACGAGAAAGAAATCAGAGGGGATAAGGTTGCTCACGAGCGGTGTGTGGTCCCACCCATCTTCACGTGTGTGTGCTGGCTGTGCGGCCGGCGCCCCGGCCCCAAACATTTACCTTGAAAGAATTGGAAGTCATAAATAATTTGAGGAATTTGGGATGAGGAACAAACGAACAGGGAGAGATTTCTTAGAGAGAAAATAGGCGAGAATGTTCACAAAATTCACAAATTTCATAAGCAACATATCCCTCGCAGCTAACAATTACATCATATATTCTAGTTCCCTTACAAGTGGACGACGTCACCATTCTACGACTTGTAGAGCCATCTCACACTCATTACTGCAGGATGCTGCTAACGCGACACAATGATCAGAGACTCTTTGACGAAACTGAGTGCGATTCATTAATCGCAAACGGTGATGTAAAATAACGCTAAAAAAAGATGCAAAATGTTTGCGATGAAGGATACATCAAACATGGTTCATATTTTAGTTCCGTGTGTGATGCGGGGCATACAATTCAGTTCAATTAACTGTTTGCGATGAGGCAGAACAAAAGAAACGGGCAGGCAGATGAAGGTGTGTGCCATATACGGCATACAGTTCACTCGGATAAACTGTTTGTGATGAGGCGGAACAACAGAAACGGGCAACCAAATAAATGTGTGTGTGATATACGGCATATAGTTCACTCGGATGAACTGTTTGGGTTGAGCCAAAAGAACAGAAACGGTTCAACTTAACAAGATGTGTGTGATATGCGGCAAACAGGAGTGTATCGGAAACGTGTGGGAAGACCGTTAACAACGCACATGATTCCTGTTAACAAGCCGTGTATGTTGTGAGCAAACGATTTCTGGTATACAATTGTGAGTGATTGATGAAAACATCACCGACGGGTTCCATTGTTTAGTCCGTGTGCGATATGATTTGTTCTGTCCGCACAACATCTACGCTCTGTCTACAGAGCATCAACATATATACTTAAAAAGACAGCATTGCATAACCAAATTAAGCATACAATTACACATGTGACTACACACATAATATTTCCACACACCAAAGTAAGCAATTACATGCATACTAAACTAGGAGAAGCGATGATCTAATCATCTACTTCTTGTTGTGACGACGCTTGCCATTGCTCTACTTTTGGCTGGATCCCTTGCGGTTTTAGGGAAGGAGGCACTTTCTCATGTCAACGATCTGCCTGTACATGTCGTAGCACGTGTACGCCTCCTTGGCCGCATACACGACATGATCTTTGTCGAATTTCTTCATCCAGGCCGAGTGCCATGCACGCTTGTCGTTGTTGCAGGAATCCTTCATGTCTGTAGTAGGGGTCGATGATGGCCTCGGCGAGGTGAACCAGTGAGTCCTTTTCATGCTCCTTGCTGTCCTAGATCTTGTATTGGCCCTGGATGTCAACAAGATTCTGGCAGGCAATGCCCGAAATCTTAAGTACCTTTACAGCGTTGGTGATGTCCACCGTAGCAAACATGTAATGGGGGTTGTTGACAAACCTGGCGAAACGCTCGCAAGGCCTTGTGGCTAGGCAGTAGTGGTAGACGAGGACGAGGTTGCACACGCACATCTGGGAGACGACGACCTTGAGACGAGACTCGGCCGAGCGCGGGTGTACTCGAGGTCGAACCCGACCACCTTGTACTTCTCCTCAGCAAGCAACAGCTCCATGATGTGGATGGAGTGCTCCATCCAGACCGGGTTGTTGGTGTACACCACCGAGAGCTCCGTGAACCTTCCTTGGGTGTCCACCACGGCATGCATGGTGAACTGCTGCTCATCGTCGGCAGCCGCTCGGAGCGCCATTGGAGCCGCCCAGGATACCCTCTAAGAATTTGTCGTGGTGGGTGTGCTTTTTGCAATGGTGGGGTCGCTGTAGTAAATGGGGGTCGACCGACCTGTAGTCGTCACGTCTTGTGACGACGTTCATAGCGGAGGATTCCAGTGCACACTTGACAACACCGCACCACACGCATTTCGTTTGACCACGCGTGGGCTAGATGCGCCAAATGTATTGTCGGTGAGCCTGTTCCCATGCTACCGTGCAGTTTACCGTACAAGCTTTCCGCCCGACTAGTTTGGCCACACGTCGGCTAGAAGAGGGACAAATCATGGGCGTTTATTGGCAAAAGCTTTGTAAAAACGAAGTGCATGGAATGACTTTAGTCATAAGTTTACCCGTGGGTGATGAGGTCAAAGTTACACAGAAGGGTGATGATGGACACTCGAGTGCGATAATTAATTCTGTGCTCTACAGGGCACACAGTTGAAGAAACCAACTGTGCAATAATATCGAAGATCGCAGTCGAGTTAGCTATACAGATCGTGTGCTATGAGATCGACAAGGTAAACAGATTCAAGAATGGTTAATAAAATCTAAGACCATTGCATATTAAGGTCAAAATAGTGCTACCAATATACGAGTCTCACACGATGACATATCAACGATTGTACCACAAAAACTCGAAATATTACAAGGTTCAAATTCCAGAGTTATATGGCTTAAATTCTAAGATTACAAGGTTCAAACTGATATTAGAAATGAAATTTAGCTCATCAGTTGTGAATGCTCGCGTTGATCCACCGAACATGGATATCAGAGGTTCAAAGTAATATTACCATGTCTAAGTCTAGTTTAGAAACCTCATAATTTTTGCAAAGGGGTCAGCCACTAAGAAGTCATGTATTGGGTTGACACGATGACTTCCGATTACTCTGTCATCTGAAGTTCCAAATGAAATTCAGCATTTTTGGAGCATATTCCATTCCGCCGCAGCCGCCGGCACTGATCAACAAACCATTCATTTTTGCAAAATAAATGTAGGAAAAACCTCATTACCTTCAACACCCTTGCTCTGACAACAAAGAACCTGGGGAATATAATCTCAGGTAAGGTCCCTCGGTAGGAGTTCAAAGTAATTATTGAGAGATGCAGATCTAGGCAGTCGGCGTGATT